TTGGGTTTGGATGCATGTAGTTGGGGTTTAGTGGGGTGTATTTATGAGGTTCACAGTCACTTCCATCTATGGGAAGACGGAAATGAGCTCTACCAGTGTGGGCGTGGCTTCCAGCCGTACTCCCTCACCAGAGAGTTGTCCATGACGTACGGGGACGAGATCTTAACCAGGTCTCACCACACCTCACAGCACCTCGCTATGGAGGTATGTGGCCTCTGCAGAGGAGAAATAAGGTTTAAAATGCTAGGAGCCAGAAGGTAGTCAGTGGAGAAATCTTCTAATTATCAGACGGTAAAATAGTAAGTAGAGGGTTCAGCTCTCATAATCCCCAGTCGAAAGTGGAAGCCTGTCCCCTGTCAGGAGTATGTAAAACGTACAACATACACCATTACAAAAGCACCATATAATTTTTTTTCTGTATCAGAGGAAATAGAATGCAAATGAATTTTTCCAGAATTCCAGCGGTTAGAGGGCACATGCCAGTACTTTTACTATAAACAGCAGGTTTGTTCAATAATAGGTCATATATAAAAAATCTGGGAGAAGGCTTTCCAAATCCGACAACTTAAAAAATTTCACAATATTTCCAATGGCCAGCTGTGAATCTGAAAGAAACCTTTCTAAACTAACACTACTGAAAGGACAAATTCTGATCAGCCGTGCTAGAGGAAAGGCCAACTTAATCTTCCTCTTCTCTCTGTACAGAAAATACTACAAAATAATTTGAAGGGATCAAAGAGTAAGCAGCCAAAACACGTAGAGAACAAAAAGTACTAAGAGCTGTGTGGGGCAGCTAATTAGTAGATGTGTCATTTTTCTGGATTTCATGATGTTTTATGAGGTTTGTTAGCTTTCTTACATCTGTAATGTGCCGTGATTTTCTTTGCACATCTAAATTTGAATATACCAGGGGTGCCAAAAAAAATGTATACAAGTGGACACTGGTCAACGTTGCTCAAGCAGTAGTTCGCTGTAATCAGAAGTGTCTGGACGCTGATGGTAACCACTTTGAGCACCTCTTGTAATTGCAGAAGTCAAACGTGACTTGTATTCATTTTTTGTTATCGGTATATATTATTACAATTTTAATATAGTTTTTTCCTTTCTTAAAATACGCATACATTTTTTTGGCACCCTGTGTGTCCCCACCCCCAATTATGGGAGTTTCAGGATCCACAATGAACCCTGGCCTGGGAAAGTAATGTGATCAGGAAGCGCTGAGGAAGAGGCCCTTCAGACAGACCAAAGATCCTGCAGAAAAGAGCTGGGAACTGTCTGCAGTGCTACAGCACGCCGGAGCCACTGTCTGGGGACCATGACCGGGGTCTGGAAATGAGGACAGTTTCCCTCCGGAGCTGCAGCTGAGTCCTGCTCTGGAGAAGGTCGCTGCCATCCTGAGTAACAAACCACACCCTCTTCATGGTGTGGGGTAAACACAGGGGGGTCACGTTAGTTCTTGCAATGATCATAAAAACAGCTACCACTTATTGAGTGCTTCTGAGTTAGTCCTCACGATGAGCTTGTCAAGTAATTACCTCTGACCTTTAGTTTTCAGGGCCCACCTAACACTTTTTGTCCTCTAGTTGTGATTCCTGCTCATATTGTGAATCACATGCTAAGAATGCAGATTGCCAGGCGGTGCCCTCAGACATTTCTCATCATTAAGTCCAAGATGGGGCTCATGAAATTAATACACGTATATTTTTTAAGTGATCCCCAGTGATTCTGATGCTGCCTACTGGGGTTTTTGTAAGCCTCTGCTGACAGCTGACAGTAGTCGGTTCAGGCTGTCTCCAGGTGGACTGCTCATTAGAATCACCTGGAAAGCTTTCACAACACACCAACATGCAGAGACCCCCCCAATCAATTAAATCAGGATCTCTGGAAGTTGGGCCTGGGCATGGGTGGCATTACAAGCTCCCCAGCTGGAGTTCAAGTCCATCCAGGGTTCGACAGCCATCACCTCAGCCAATGGGGAGGCTGGAAACCATGAAATCTATGAAATCACAGAAAAACTATATTATGTCTCTGACCCCTGTTCTGGGCACAAAGCTCCTGAAACCCTTGTAATTTCCTAAATGATAAGAGCACCTGGAGCATCTTGTGTTCTAACGTTTGGTCTTTGACCCCAGTTCCTGACAGAGAGCTCCTAAATCCTTTGGAATTTTCTGGGTGATAGGAGTGTCTTTTGTTTGAGTGACCTGATGCTAGGTGGGCTCCTGAATGGGAGTTTGTCACCAAAACAACCAAGCCTGAAGCTTTCAGCCCGACCGCCATCCTCCAGGAAGGGGAGAGGGGCTGGAGATTAAGTTAATAATCAATCATGCTGACATGAAGAAGCATCCATAAAAATCCCAAAAATATGGGGTTTGGAGAGCTTTTCACCAGGTTGGTGAACACATATGTCAGGAAGGTGACAGTCCCCAGCTCCATGGGGACAGAAGCTGATGCATTCAGGACCCTCCCAGAACTCACCCTATGTATCTCTCCATCTGTGTCCTTTATCATATAATAAAAGCGGTAAATGTAAGTGTTTCCCTGAGCTCTGGGAGCTGCTCCAGGAAATGATGAAACCTAAAGAGGCAGGTCGTGGGAACCTCCAATTTGTAGCCAAGTTGGACAGAAGTTGTGGGGGACCTGGGGACCTACTACTTGCAATCGGTGTCTGAAGTGGGGGCAGCCTTGTGGGACGGAGCCCTTACCCTGTGGGGTCTGCACTAACTCTGGTTGGTGTCAGAATTGCTTGGTATGGAAAACTCCCATGTGTAGAGTTACAGTGTTTTGGATGGGAGTAGTGTGAGAGTGAAGGGGAACAGAGTTTTCCTAGACAACCACCCACACAAAACACGGAAAAATGGCCATTAGTCCCCTTATCACTCACTAATAAATGAAGGCACTCTTGGTGAACTTTTCTCAAGATGGAAAACGTAAGAATACAGCATATTAAAAAACCAACATTTCCCATTCATGTATATTTACGTAGTTGCAGCTCACTTTCACACACGTGCCCTTATTTAATTCTTACACGGCTGTGAAGCTATTACCCCTGCTCTCTCGGGGAGAAAACCGAGGCCAGGTGACAACTGCTGCTCAGCGAGTGTCTGATGGACTGAATAGAGGTCCAGCAGAAACCAATTTTTCCCCCCTGAGCCTGGCGGCCAACAATTCAATGTTCTTTCTCTTCAGTGCACTTATAATGTCAAGGGAAGTCCTGAAAAAGCCCCCTGATGGGGGCTAGTCCACCCTGTTTACTCGATTTAGAGTCCTGGTTTTTATAATACATCACTTGCAGAGACAAGAGAGAAGGCAAATAGGAGATAAAAAGAAAGGGGGAGATGAGGTAAGAAGCCAGGCCCCCAAACTCATTTGCAGTCCTAGCAACAGCTAAGAAGACAGAATTATCTGGACTAAGGAATTACCCCCCAAAAACCAAGCTGTTAGTGATCTGACTCTAAGCCAGAGTTTTAGAAAAATCTTCAAATGGATCCACCAACCATGTGACTGATTGACTCTTCCATCTGGGAGACTTTTTTCCCAGAACTCTTTCAGATTCACATCTTGTCATTGGAAGTACATTTTTCTTATTGTGGTCAAATTTGGGAAGGCTTCTCTCAAGTTTCTTTTTTTATAAGATTGATTACAGACATATTTGCTTTTAATAGTAAAACTAGAGGTATGTGCCTTTCAAACATAAGAATTCTGGGGGGAAAAAAATCTTGATTCTAGAAAACACTTGAAAGATCTTCATTCCCTCTGCCCATGGGCAGATGAAGAAACAGGAGCAGGGGTCCCTGGAGGGCTGTGCCCCTCTGTGAAATCAACCCAGGGCTCTTGGGCACATCCTCCAAGGAGCTGTCACTTCAGTGCAAGCCCAGACATTCCACGAGGAAGGGTGGGGGAAGGGTGGCTACATGGTGCTGCATTGTTTAGTCATTACAGCTCATTAAGGGATTAGACACTGCCAAGCTACGCCTAAAAATACAAAGACCAGCTGTGCCTGCTTGGTTCCAAGCAGTGTGGAGAGCCAGCGAACAAGGAGAGAGGGCCAACACCACTCAAGTTGACTTAGCGAAATAAACTGGGTTACAAACCACTGTCAACTGAGGACGAGCTAGTCACACCCCTTGAAGAACCAGGTCAGGGAAGTGCTGTGCCCCGGCTGCTTTGCCTTCATGCCCCCCTCAATCAGCCTGGCTCCTTCTCTCAGGCTGGGCTGGGGCTGTCAGGATGGAGGTCCCCCTGGCAAAATGACTCCAGTCTGGACAGATGGAAGGGGAAAGCAGATAATCTCCTGTGTTAAGTGTTCTGCAGGCCCGGCCAATTGACTCAGGAGGGCCACCTTCCTCCAGAAAATTTTCTCTTTTTCCCACATTTGAGAAGAAGAGTCTTGTGTGAATGTCTGACTTCAGAGGTTGCTATGTAAGCCACCAAAGGGACAGGGAGGTGAAGACAAAGACCCCATGTTGTTGCTCAGCACTCTTCCCTTTTTGCAACCTGTCCCCACAGCCACACACCCCTTACCAGCTTGTCACCACCCCAACACACACACACACACACACACACACACACACACACACACACACACACGGAGAAAACAGCATCTCTTGTGAGAGGAACATGAACTCATGGAAACAGCATCCTTATCTTTGTGGCCAGTAAACAAACAAGCAAACAAACTTTGGTTTAAATCGCAGGGCTCTGTCATTGATCAGCTGGGTGACTCTGAACAACATAAGTCCTCTGAGTTTCAACCACCTCATCTCCAAAACGGTGACATAAGCACCTGCTTTACTGGGGTGTTTGGGAAACTGACTTAGATACAGCTGATGAAGCACCTGTCACAGTGCCTGGTGCCTCAAAGTGGGTGCTCAGTGAAGGTTCACCACACCCCCCATTTATTGTAACACGCTTTATAGTCCTACACATGTGGCAGCAGTTTCCCCCACATTTCCCCCATTTCTCATGCTGTAAAGAGACATAAGAGGAGCTGCAGGTCCCACCTGGTAGACAGCCCTGGAGAAGCACCATGGTTTCAGCATCAGCTGCAGGACCCGAAGGTTTCCCCCTCTGCACGTCCTCAGCGCCCGGCAGGTCAGGTCCCACACCAGCCGGTCCCAGCTACAGAGCAGGTCCTCAGCGCCAAGCACCCCTGCAGCCATGCTGGCTCCAGGCTCCGCCTTTCCCCTCTGGTCCCAGGCCCCACATACAGGGCTGGTTTCTTTTAGTAATGCAAAGTTCAAATGTCACTAGATTTAATCAGGCGAGGGAAAAATGCAGTCAAAATAACCCTGTTTCCTCCTGTTCCGCTCTCCTCTCCCCTACCTTCCCTCACCCCCACCCCCACTAATCCTTAGGGACTGTTTTCCCACAGGGATTAGCAAGTGGCTCCTAAATCAAAATGTTTTCTCCTTGTCTCTAGGGATTCTCCAGGGACAAGGTGAAAACAAACCTCACCCTGCAGATAATTAATTGCACATCCATCCCTCTCGGTGGACTGCCGGGACACAGGGCCGGCTTTGGGGGCCGAATGGAGGGAAGAGCATGAACCCAGAGTCATCACTGAGTTCTCCTGGTTCCGGGAGTCCGTCCAGGGTGAGAAGCAAAGAGGAACGAGCCAGCCTCCAGGCCAACATTCCGGACACATTCCACCCATTCTCTTAACTCTTTCAGACTTAGAGAGCCAAAGAGTGTCTGCATGGCAAAGCAGAAAGCCCCGTCTTACACCAACCCTGAAGAAACGGCCATTTCTGAGGCCAGTTTGTAAAAACCTAGGCGCTTTCTTTGGACATTTCCCAAGTTGACGTTAAGATTAAAAGGGCAGCCGGAAAACTCACCTGATAGATTTAATATCAACATCCACAATTTGGGAGGAAAGCAGATTAAAGAAGGTCAAGGCAACATATCCCACGTTTCCCTATGATAGGTCATTTTCTGCAAAGGCTCTTGCGACTTTATTATATATTGGAGAAGTTCTTTATGGACCTCAACCCAAGGAAAGACACCTAGCTCACTAAGCATGGGACAGCTACTGGAGATGTCAACTCAGTGGTTTTTGGAGCTTGATTATTCTAAACTGTGTTTCATAAGGGCATCTGCATCTTAATTTAACAGATTCCAGAGCAGGAAGGGGAGGCGGCAGGTAGGAAAGGTTCAGTCACAACACAACCTGGCCAGTTAGGTAAAAGAAAGGACATGTTTAGTCTTAGTAGCATTTTGGTTGCATGGCCCTGAAAAACCATGGAAGTCACTGAGGCACAGCTGCCTTCTGCACATTCTTCCTATTCGTTCATTTGTTCGTTCATTCGTTCATCATTCATTCATTCATTCATTCATTCATTCACATCTCTTCAACCTGAAACTTTAATATCATCAGAAAAGTAGCAGAGCATATAACTCACCAAACTACTAGAACGTCCTGAAGTCAGACATACCTGAATTTGAATTTGGCCCTACCACTGACTATGTGAGCTTAGATAAATTAATTTACTTCTCGGGCTTCTTTCTTTATCTGTAAGATAGGAATCGTATGACTTCACAGGGCTGTTGTGGGGATTAAATGAGGAAATGCACCTAATGTGGATTACACAGGGTGTAGCATGTTGCTGGGTTTATTATTTTCTTTTCTTTCGGAGCACTTACCAGGATCATGAAAGTCAAGGACATTACCTACCACTGATAACATGGAACTCTTGAGATCATTACAAAATTTGTGTTTCTCGAAATCATCTTCTCTTAATCCCTTTTCTCCTTCGGCTATGGGTCGATGCATTCATTAATTAACTTAATGAAACTGGGAAGACAATTTTCACTGAAACTCCACTTTGATGAATTTTATCATTGTTCCATGAGTAATGGCTGTGAAGGCAAACATTATGCATGCTTTCATTCCTTTATATTATTTCTTTACTTTCATACACCCTGTAATAAAAGGTGGGGGGATACTAAGGGATCTTGCCTTTCTACAAATACCCCAATCAGCAGAGATAGTTTTATTTAAGAAAGAAAGGAAGAGGAAAGAAAAGAAATAAAAGGAAGATAGAAAGAAGCTAAATTTAAAAACAAACAGCTTGTGGAAAATGACTGTCCCATTAACATTAGCTAACCACCTTGGTATTTGCAAGAAAAAAAAAAAAAAAGACCAGCTTTATCACAGTTAGCTTTGCCAGTGTCCCTCAGCTCATGCTCTTCACCCTCAGAGGATTTTGGCTGTGAACCCAACTCTTATCCGAAGAATGTAATTATGGAATAGATAAGGACAGTTTTGAAGGCACTGTTTACTCTCTACATTAAATAATGTGACTTTAATGTATATTTAACTTATGATCCAGGAATATTTTGAGTCTAAAGGTGCCACGATAAGCTTTTTAAAAACATGCCTGAACGTCAACATAATAATTCCTGAGAACAGTGAGACCTCCTCAAACAGCCCTGAAGGCTTTACCATTTGTGGGGACAGGGACGTCCTTTGCGGAGACCTGCTCTGGAGCCCGCAGTCTGAGCCTGGGAGTACCAGCAGATGTCTTCCAGGCCTGGGGAGCATGGCTGACGGGGACTGGCTGTGCCCCATGGCTGGAGGAGGATGCTGTCCAGTTTCGCTGGCCCACAATCACACCTCTGATTCTGCCCTAGATTCTAGGTCACTAATTCAGGCTTTCACACGGCGGCTGCCATGATGGCATTGGAGAGGCTGTGCATGCAAATAGCACACGACCATCAACCATGATGCCCTTGCTTTTATAAGTAATTTATAATGCTCAGAGCAATTAGATACAGATGTGTATGTGAGTGTATATCTATCTATCTATCTATCTATCTATCTATCTATCTATCTATCTATCTATCTATCTATCTGTGTATCTGTATATGTGTCTCTGTGTATGTATACATGTGTCTGTCTGTGTCTGTCTGTGTATCTCTGTGTTTGTGTCATGTGTGTGTTTGTGTGTGTGTCTGTGTATATGTGCATGTGCAGCTGTGTCATGTGTGTGTGTGTGCGTGTGTGTGTGTGCCTTCATTTTACACAGGAGTAAACCATAGTGCAGGGGGGCAGAGCAGTCTGCCCAGGCCACGTAGATATTGTGATAGAGCTGGGACCTGACTGACACCAGGGCTCACCAGGCAAATAAATAATTTGAATGTGTCTTACTGACTCCCAACTCCTTTTAATCACTTCCTTTATTCTTTCCTCAAAAGTCATAGGAAATTGGGGTTTTCTAGGCAGTTCACCACTTAGACAACTGATCATAAAACATAAGAGTAATGACTCAGGGACCTCCTGAGCGTCCAAAGGGTGAGCAACACCATTGAGATACCCGGAAGATATAATTAAGGGCAATCACCTTATCATACTTCCTTTCATGAACTTTTTTGCTAATGTTTGGGGTAAAAAGAGTCTAGGTATAGAGTTAGCTGGCAGGATTGGGTCAGTTGCTGTGGTTTTGCCTACTGTATGCCCTGGAAGACATTACAAGCAGAGCTGATGTCTTGGTCCTGGGGTTTGACATGTGGGAAGGGACCTAGGCTGGGGACTTTAAACCTGGTGCTGAGCCTGGGGGAGGCCACTAGCGTTGTAAAGCCAGAAGTTCCCGCCCAGGACAAAGGCAGGAGAGATGAGAGGGACTTTGCAGGGCACAAGGGGGCTTGCAGGGCATGGACTGGTGCCTGTGGCCCCACCCCTCTCCCAGCTGCTCTCTCCCATCCAACTGTTCATTTTCCACCCTGTCTCCATCCCCACCTTACTGTATGTTCTGTCCCTGCTCCCAGGTTCTCATTCACTGTTTTTGTAAAGACAGAAGAAAATATATATATATTTCTTTAAAGATTTTTATTGAGGAATTAGGGGGATAGGAACAGTGCTGGGGAATTGGGGTAAGGGGAACAGACAAGTTGCTGTCGTTTTGTTCTTCAATCTAGTTGTGGAGGATGTCACTTCACTGGCCCAAGTTGGCACCATCATGGCGCTCTTCTCTGGAGAGGCAGATCAGTCGCTGGCTTCTGGACGACCGCTCACTGCGGCTGCTGGCCGCTCACGCTGGCTGCTGGCCGCTCACGCTGGCTGCTGGCCGCTCACGCTAGCTGCTGGCCGCTCACGCTGGCTGCTGGCTACATACGGTAGCCCATGGCAACCCACTGCCACAGGTGCTGCAGCCCACGCCGTCGCCGGCAACTCCCGGCAGCCCAGCTCCAGGTTGAGCTGTTGTTCAGCATCCCAGCCGTAGAGGGCAGTGTCACTGGCCCTCATATGTGGGATCCGAACCGGGGCCCTCTGTCATCCCAAGCGAGTTCTTAACCGTCGCGCCACTCGGCCGGCCCAGAAAATATTTTTTTTAAAGTCATAAATGCCTTTGCCTGACTCTAGGGATGTTTTCAGACATAATTGCCGCCTTGAGAAGGACTCGGAAAAACTCTTAAGTTGCAAAGTAATACGTAGCACAATTATCAACAACATTTGCAAATACATAAAGACACAGGAAATCACACACACACGGAGAGGTATATTTATAGTCACCAAAGAAATATATTCAGAAATGCAATGGAAGGTAACCCATCTTAATTATTTGGTGATAATTTACTGACATTTATTTTAGGACATGTCAGCCATAAGAAGTCAGCTCCTGCAGGGTTACAAATAGCATGTTTTAAAAGAGTCTCTTGGGACGGCCGAGTGGTGCATTGGTTAAGAGCTGGCTTGGGATGCCAGCTCAGAGCAGCAGGGCTCTGGTTCAGATCCCACATTAGGGCTAGTGATGCTGCACCTTCTACAGCTAAGATAGTGAACAACAGCTGGACCTGGAGCTGGGCTGCTGAGAGTCGCCGGTGACCGCGTAGGCTGCAGTGAGGCTGCAGTGGGCTGTTGTAAGCTATCGTGAGTGACTGGCAGCCAGCGTGAGCTGCCAAGAGCTGCAATGAGTGGCCGTCCAGTGACTGGAGACTGATCTGCCTCACCCGGGAAGAGCGCAATGATAATACCAACATGGGCCAGTGAAGTGACGTCCTCAGCTAGACTGAAGAACAAAAGGACAGCAACTTGTCTGTTCCCCTTCCCTGATTCCCCAACGCTGTTCCCCTCCCCCAATTCCCCAATAAAATCTAAAAAAATAAAAGTCTCTTAAATGTGTTTGGTTATCTTTTACTGATAGAATCTGGAAGTAAAGGACAGCTTCTCCAACACCAA